CTACGGCTTTGGCTACGGCTGTGAGATTTCAAGCTCAATCTAAAGTACTCAAATATAAAATTTTAAATCCTTAATCTTACATTCTGATAAGCAGTCTAGCCTGTAAAAATCATGCAAAGGATGCCCAGCAACATTGAAAGTGGTGAAGCCTTTGAAAACCTGTAATGGTTTTATCATTTGCCGTAGGGGAGTTTGCACTCTGGTACAGAATACTAATTATGGGTAGGTAGCAATTGTTCCTTCATCATCAAGAGCTTGACAGTCAGAAAATGCAACATGTTGCATTGTCACATCCCTCTCAAACCAATCTCACCTGGTCATTAGGAGAGCACCTTTTAGCTATTGAAGACAAGCGTTCAATAATTGTTTCAGGTAATAGAAAAAGAAATAACGCCTAGGTAAAGGCAGGTAAAGACTTCATAAAATATTATCTAAAATAACTCTTATGTATTTCTGGATTTTCGGCAAGTCCAATTATACATAATATGAAACTGGCGCTTTATGTTCTAACTGGTGTGTGAGTGACCGCTAACAGAAAATGCTGATCAACGAAGCCAATGGAATTTAGATAACAACTAATAAGGGAGCATAAACCTTACTTACGGTTAATTCACATGACGGTGAAAACCCTGAACACGATATTTCCTACGCGAGCTGTCGACTTTACTAATAAAATGACGTCTTTTTCTGAAATGTTAAAAGTTGATACTGAATCTTTGTTTGAGAGCAAATTTTCAACTGTATAGCATTATTATTTATTAATTATAATTTTCATGGCTGTTTGTAGAGACTTTAAAAAAAATTGCCATTTCATTGCTAGTGACGTCATTAAAAACTCAAATAAAATTTTTGATTGAAAGAGGCAATTGTGGCTCGCACGTCCTTGGTGATTTGAGCGAAGAAAAACGAAAAATAAAAATAGATGAATGTTTTTCATTCTTGGATGCTCACTAGTGTTTTGATGCCTTGTATATCAAATAAGTTTGAGACTTGCTCAGAAGGCTGCTTCAAGCCTGGCATATCACACCCCAGAAAATATGCAAGGTAAGAAAGAAGCAAGTTTTGACTAGACAATCACTGTTTGACAGTCCATCAACTTCAGTTTCATTTTCCATAACATTGATATGAAAAGCATCAGGGTCTGTTGTTCTGTCCCACAACCATGCTTCAGGATTTGGCATTAGATGTCTACACTGCTAGTGCTTCTATTCTGGTTCGTTGTTTACGTTTTCTGTTGATGTAGGTACTTACCTATAGTATACATCTTTCTTAAAGGGACCCTCCCACCTTCAAAAAAGTTAATGAATTGGCACGAAAGTGATGTCGCTCGGTTCAGAAAGAGCGAAAACGAATATCTACCAAATTTCATTGAAAAATATTCTCCGGTTTTCAAGATATTAGACTTTTACTTTTGTTTACTTTTTGGGATCTCCGCTGTTCCTAGCGACTTTATTTGAAAGTGCGGCATTTGTTGCGCGCAAAGCAGCATATACCACCGCGTGCTACCAAACGTTTTAGTAAAAGATTTAAAAATCGTTAGATCTCCGCTGACGTCACAAATTCTAAGGGGGCATACCAATGCACTAGCCCCTTAGAATCCGAAAACTGCAAGTTTGAAATTCCATATCTCCGAATTAAAGCATTTGTCGATGTTGTGAGTGCCCAAACCGGTATTTGCAGGCCATGGCCACCAATTTGGCTATCTCAACTCAAAACTAATGTTAAGGTGGGAGTGTCCCTTTAACCCATTGCAAGGGCTTGTGTAGGCATGCGTTGCGCATCAGGCTTCAGGCCTTCGGCCTGAAGCCAGATACTAGAGGTGGCAAAATGTGGACCCGAGGACCCGGTCCAAAGAACCAGTCTGGACCCATATGGGTCCAGACCGGTTCCTGGAAATTTTCTGACGGGTCCAACCGGGTCCTACCATAAACTATACATCTTGCACACTACACATTATTGCAAAATGTGAAGTGAATGAAGTGAATGTTTCTTTGCACACAGTAGCTCGTGAGTATTCCCAGTGGGAAATAGGCTGTTTTACTTGGTGCAACTAATGATACCTACAAGTAGTTTGTATTAATTGACTTTTGGGGAACGGGTCCAACTGGGTCCGATTCCAACTAAGACCGGGTCCGACTGGTTCCAGAAATGTCCAGCCGGGTCTGGTTCGAGTCTGGTTCCCAAAATTTTCATCTTTTGCCACCTCTACCAGATACACAACCACTTACCCTATGATGCTTCATGAGCTTGAGAATCTATAGCCCATTGCGATGTGCTTTTGGCTATGTGTTTTAACTAAAAACAACTTATTATATACTATTTGGTTGCATTTCATTGAAAGTATCCACGGTCTGCTGACGGCTGGCTGCCTACAATTTGCCACGGCTGTGGGCGGCGGTGGCTGTGGAGCCACGGATGCGGGACGGCTAGGCTGTGGAAAATTGCAGCCGTGCGGAACTCTACTCCGCAGCTCCTCCTCACCGCGCACAGGGCGCGAGCGCTCGCCTTGGCTCACCACGACAAATACGGTGCCGCTTCTGTTGAGAACTATGTCGATTTTCTTTTCCCTCTTCATGAGCGAGAGCTCATTGAAGATGGCCAGCCGCTGTTTGGTCAGACTCTCCCTGATATACAGGCCTGTCCCCCCTCAGTTTTGTTTTATTGCAATTGCGGAACAGAATGTCTCTGTCTGATCCAGGCCTGGAAGTTGCGAACCGCACCCTTATCTGCCTGTCTTCTCGGTGAACTTCGCTGATCTGGTCCATGTCTATCTGGAACTCCAGTAGCTGCGCCACCATGGAAGACAGCATCTGTGGCGTGTTCTCTCTGCCGTTCCTGGGGCGACGAGGGACGGCGGGGCCGGAGAAGATCAGCCAGTCCATCATCTTGCTCTGCTGAATGTCGTCCAGCTCCGACTCCAGTGTGCAGAGGCGCTTGGCACAGCGGAGAAAGGCCTATTCAGCCTGCTCCGCCCGCTTTTTAACTGCTACGAGACGTTTACTCAGCGTTTCGTTGACGGTTAAGGCGAATGATATTCTCAAGTGCTGTCATTCTCTCCTCAGTACATCGTTTGATTTTTTCCGTGATACATTTCCGACTGTCTTGATTTTCAGCTCTGATGAATTTCTTCAGGTCTGCGATCACACCATCTCCTGTGTCGGGCCCAGTCGTGCTGTCCTCGTCTAACAGTTCCACATCGTCCTCTTCATTTTCCGTCCGTGCGCCTGGTTTTTGCGGCCTCCTTGAGCAATGGGCTGACATTTTTCCGCTTCGGTTTTCCCATCGCGGAGCCGTGACCAGTAGCTGAGTTTCCTCGACCTCTCAGTAGGTGTCGCTACCGTCCGCTCCGGCTGACGACCGCCAAGGTTCAGCTACAATCCCTTCTCAACAGGTGTTACCGCCCGTTCCGGCTGACGTGCGTGCGCACGTGGCCGTGACCCAGCAGTGTCGTAAGCTGATGCTGTGGTGATTTCACGCCAGGTCGGCCAATCAGCTGCTCTGAATCCGGCGGTATGACGTCATACCTCCGTCCACTCGAGCAGCGGGACGGTAATGGCGGCGATTCTAGCGGGGCCACCCTCAAAACGCAACACCGACTCTACGGCCTATGTCGGGAGCGTACGGTTTCTAACTGAAATAGAGCGATGCACAGACATCCAACGAATATCACTGCGGGTTCTGACAACACTGAAAAAGCTAGTTCCTTCAAAATAAGGCAGAAAGTGTGAGCGGTCTGACCGCCGCCCGGCAGGTCGTGACGTCACTGCTTGTTAAGATGACTTTGGTTCACTTTTTCGAGTTAAGCATGCTACTAGGGTACTTTTTGGAGATGATGTCGAATTTAGCACCCATTTGAGCATTTAAAAAGTAGTTTTGGTGTCAATGCAACATGTTACGAAGCTGTCAGTGGTGGTTGACACCTACTTTGGCTAGCCAGCGGGACACCTACTTGCTGAACTGGCCTAACCCTACCTACCCTAAATGCTAAAAAGGGTTCAGATTCAGCGCAGTACTGTGAGCTAGATACCATTAAAGCTTGAGGTTTGCTTTTTCGACTTTTTTACCGTGTGATGTGGCAATGTGAGGAAGTTACAACCTAACATAAAAGCAGGGGTCGGGTGGCCTACCAATTATCTATTTTTTTTAAGTTTAAAAAAGTTTTCATCGTGTCAGGGCTATGACGAAAAACAAGTGGCCTACGTCCGATGAGAAATCAGAATTTGGGGGTACCTACCCTAGGTTTAGAGGCGACACTCGACCGATGGGCGAACGACAGCCCGTCCCCCCCCCCCCCAACCAACCCAACCAAAAGTCCGTGGCGGAGCCGTTGACCCAAGGCCATAGAAGCGGGGCTTAGCTGTACGTCTAACGTCATGACGCATCACAGACTGACAGGTGATAGCCTCTACACAGCGGGTGAAAATCTTGCTCGAAATTCATCATTACGAGTCATTGAGAAGTGTTCGAAATATTGAAATGACGACAAAATAGGTATCTAAATTGTCCAAGATTTGATAGGTCTTTAAACGGCCATTTTCGCAATTTTGTTGAAATTCATCCGTGCATTCAAAAAATCGAAAAAAACTAGTCTGGCAAACCTAAGAAAGAATGGGGTTAGCTTTAGAGTGCATGAATCACTTTGCACGTGCTTTGATTACTTGAAATGCATGTTTCGGAGAAATTTGTGTGAAAAGTTGTGACAGAAAATATGCTCTTACAGTACATGCACATTAGGGCTTGCAATGCACATGCATCAACGGCCGCAGCACTTTCAATCCATTCTTTCTTAGATTTGCCAGGCTATAGGGTCTCGAGGAGTTTGGCGCCAACAGTAGTCCTAGTCCTTTTTGTGAAGTCAGTTTTCGCTTGTTTCACTGGTCTGACGTTGTGGGCGCAAAAAGACAATGTACAGTGTGGGCGCGGCCCAAATCGCCAATACTGGTCTCGTACACCGAGCTCGCTGTATGTGACCACGCTAACGTCTGTTGGCCGCCGGACAGACTGGAACCGCGACTGGAAGCCGGAGCCGCGGCCGCCGCAGGGCGCCGACCAGCACGCGGCCGCCGCGCACAAATACGGCCTGCTGCCGGCCGACTACCGACCTCTGCCCGACGACGGCGCCGGACTGGGCGACTACCCGGCCGTGCCTCTCCACTCGGCTGAGGCGCGCGACCCCAACTACAACTGGGACATGCCAGAGCTGAAACGCGACTTCGGCGAGCCCGTATGTATGCTAGAGGAATGTTTTGAGCTCAGGTTGTAGATGGTGTTGAGTATCAAGTGACCGCGTTAGATAGGAATGATTGATTGAAGAGGGCAGACGTTTTTGACGGCGCTTTACTTTTATGTCCATTTTTGCCAATAACATTATTGCCTTTGTTTATCCTTTGTTTATAACATTGGTCTCGTAATTATATGTACCTACTGCTTATATATTGGTATTCCTCCAAAGCGATAAAAATAAGTTCCTCGTCTGTTAACCCTCGCCCGTATTGGTGTTTTTCCAGCCGCGAACGTATAACCCGCGCCCGGCTGGGGGTCCTGGATTTCCACGCCCTGCTGGGGGGGGGGGGTGTTTGAACACCCCCCCTTCTAATTCGGCTCCTGGGCCACGTAGCGATACGCGGAAGGCGGCGTTCGAAAGCGCGCCAAAAATAATGACGAAATTACTTCGGTCACTTTTTTGGTCAGGTCAAAGGTCAGGTCACCAGAGGTCATTGAAGGCAAAATTTCGCCGATTTTCAGGTCGAATGTCGGCAATTTCCAGGAAGCCAACGCATAACTCGGGAACCAATAAAGTTACAGCGCCGCGGAAAAGCGCATTCGATAGCCCTATTAACGCCCTTTCTGAGTAATTCTCTCAGATTTGACCTAACGTCAACGGTTTTGCCTGCAGGGGGCAAAAACTGCAAAAATAGCAGATTTTTTTGGAAACAGTTTTTCTGCAATAACTTTTGACCCAAGCCTTGTACGAGCTTACTTTTACCGGCATCGTGTTCCTCTCGTCAAGACGCATCGAATGAACTATAACTTGACCTTGAAAGGTCAACTTGAAAATTTGACCTCAGGTCAAGGTCATGACCTGACCGGAAAGGGTCATGTTGCATATCAGTCGATCCGTATCGTCGAGCTGAGCACATCTAAGGCGTTTTCACCGCTCTAGCATGCCTCTATCAAAAGTTATTTGCGAAAAACTGTTAGGCACAATTCGTGACCTGAGATGACCTCAGGGGTATAAATAGGGGTCACGGACACCATTTTCATGTTCACTGTGTCTAAACCACTTGTAATTCAGTGTTTCGGAGTGTTTATAATGTCTTTCGTCCAAAAGAGGCGCATTTCAATTTTCTCCCATTGACTTATAATGGGGAGGTCGCAAAATTGACCTGACCTTAGGTCACCGATATCAAAATTCCGAGATATACATTTGATAGATACTGTTACCCATATCAATCGCTGAAAGTTTCAAAGCGATCGGTCACTCGGTGTAACTATGGCAGACATTGAAACTTTTTATGAGGTGAGGTCACTTTAAGTGACCTGGTGACCTGACCTTGAATGACCTTGGTCTGAAATTTTTACAACATGTGTAGAATTGATGTATGATAAGGTGTACCTAAAACGGCGGCGCCCCTCGCAAAAAAAAACACAAGGGGGGTGTTCTAACACCCCCCAGCAGGGCGCGGGATAAGGGTATAAGGGGGCCGGGGGGGGGGGGTCCGCTGGACCCCCTCCTTGCCGTTTCGCCCCTGATTGAGCTAGAGCTTCGCGGAAAAACGAGCGTGTTGCCCGTGACGAGAGGAAGCCGATGATACCTAATTTTAAGGTCCCAGGTCATTGGTTGACCTTGCAGGTCAGGTCAATGACCCAAAAGTCGGGAAAATCGGGACCTGTTAGAACGTCGTAAAGTGTGGCTGCTAGTGTTTTTTTTTTTGTGTGCTGATCACGAATATCATGTTAATTTTGATCACAGATGATGTCTTCATGCATTTAGTCCAGGTCGGGTCAGGTCAGGTCAGGTCAACCAGTAGGGGTCCTGCCGGGTATTCCTAGTAGGTGTCAACCGCCTCTGACAGCTTTCGTAACATGTTACGAAGGCACCAAAACTACTTCGTAAGTGTTCATATGGTTGCTAAATTCGAATTCAGCTCCAAAAACTGGCCTAGAAACATGTAAAACTCGAAAAAGTGAACCGAGGTCATCAAAGGTCAATGACCTGACCTGACCTTCGGGTGACCTTGACACCCACCCTAATGCATGGGAGCAACATCAAATCACATGTTTGAAGGTTTGAAACCACGAAAAGCTTGCCAACGCGCGGCTAATGCGAGCCGACATACGCCGAATCGCGATTCCGGCCAAACATGGTCTCGAAAAGTAGGTCACAGGTCAAAGGTCATTGGGGTCAGGGTCATGAAATTTTCAGGGTAGGTGTAAAATTGATTAACGCGAGGGTACTGAAAGTTTCGTCGCGATCGGCCGCTTTTTACGCGAGCTATTTGCGAAAAACCATGGGGGGGGGGTCCGTTCGACCCCCCCCCCCCTAACTTTATTTCTCTGATGGGATGGAGCCCTTGGCATCGAACGGATACGAGATGGGAACATGGGAAGGCCTTGCCCTGGGGTTTAAAGCCAAGCAATTCCATCAGCCGGTGACAAATCCCATCCCTTGCAAATTGAAGCTATTCCTCCCCGAGCAGTGAAGACTATATGTTGTAAGGAAATTGCAAGCCTCTCAAATAAATGTGTACTGCACGACGACGGAGCCAGTGTCATGTGGGAATCAGACGGGCATTAAAGAGGAGACGATACACCTGCCCACCCGGTGTCGTCCTCCGAGGCGGATGATTACACCGCTTAACAACCACACGTCACTCACACGGCACATGTGCACCGCCAAGCCGCCCAGCAGCACCGTTACAATATATATTTTGTTTGGAAAAGGTCAAGTTTTATGTTGACCTCATGTGACCTCGAATGACTTTTGGTTGACCTTGACACATGAAAGGTCGCCTATGACGGATTTGTACCCGCTGATCACGAATCTGGCATCTATTTTCCTCTAAACCTTCATTTAGAGCTTCCGGATGGCAAAATTGTCATATTTATTATTACTAACTTGAATCAGTGAAATAGCCTCTAGCAAGGAAACTCTTCTGTGACCTTGACCTTTGAGCAGCCTTGTATCGTAAGATGAACCACAAATAGGGAACTGATAAGCCTCAAAACATTTCAAAACATCTTGGAAGTTAGCACCAAGATGTACGAAAAAGTGCAAAGTTTGAGGTCAATTTTGAGCGTGACCTTGACCTTTACCTTTGATTTAGAGCACAGTTTCGGAATCCTCAGATTCTCTTCTTTCGTTTGACACCCAATTTTGCCGGTTTGATGCATCCTGCCGTCTTCTAGAACGCTTAATTTGAGATCACTACACATGTGCCGGTTTTTCCCTTTGACCTTGACCTCATTGTAAGAAGTCGTGCAATTTTCTATGTCGTAAAATGACTGTGAGATCCTTGCAGGTTCAAACGCCGCTAGCGTGCGTTCATTTAATACAAACTACAAAAATTATACACGGCAATGATTTCTAAACCCTGCTGCTTCTCATGCTGGGTCACAAAAAGGTGTATCTCTTTTGGTTTGGCGGTGATCTAATCATCTGTCATCATGATGTTGAGGGTTTCTTTGAAAATGAGCCCCATTATTATTAAAAGATAAGCAAGTAATAGCCTTTGGCTCATTGTATAATAGACAAAAGAAATGGAAAAGAATATATGTGCAACAATGTTTTAGTGAAAAATATTTCCTTTCGTTTCACCTACAGCAGTTAACCCTCGCCCGTATTGGTGTTTTTCCAGCCGCGAACGTATAAGGGGGGGGGGGGGTCTCGCCCCTGATCGAGCTAGAGCTTCGCGGAAAAAACGAGCGTGTTGCCCGCGACGAGAGGAAGCCGATGCTACCCAATTTTAAGGTCCTAGGTCATTGGTTGACCTTGCAGGTCAGGTCAATGACCCCAAAGGCGGGAAAATCGGGACCTGTTAGAACGTCGTAAAGTGTGGCTGCTATGGGGTTTTTCGGGGTGCTGATCACGAATATCATGTTAGTTTTGATCACAGATGATGTCTTTATGAATTTAGGCCAGGTCGGGTTAGGTCAGGTCAGGTCAACCAGTAAGGGTATTCGTAGTAGGTGGCAACCGCCTCTGACAGCTTCGTAACATGTTACGAAGGCAGCAAAACTACTTCGTAAATGTTTATATGGTTGCTAAATTCGAATTCAGCTCCAAAAACTGGCCTAGAAACATGTAAAACTCGAAAAAGTGAACCGAGGTCATCAAAGGTCAATGACCTGACCTGACCTTCAGGTGACCTTGACACCCACCCTGATGCATGGGGGCAACATCATATCACATATTTGAACGCTTGAAACCACGAAAAGACTGCAAACGCGCGGCTAATGCGAGCCGACATACGCCGAATCGCGATTCCAGCCAAACATGGTCTCGAAAAGTAGGTCAAAGGTCATTTGGGTCAGGGTCATAAAATTTTCAGGGTAGGTGTGAAATTGATGAACGCGAGGGTACTGAAAGTTTCGTCGCGATCGGCCGCTTTTTACGCGAGTTATTCGCGAAAAACCATGGGGGGGGGTCCGTTCGACCCCCCCCCCTATACGGGCGAGGGTTAACACAGTGTGTGCCCGTTAGTGCACCATGTCATAGCATTCCCTAATCATTTCTGAGCCTCACCGTGAAAGAATTAAGGCCCTTGCACAGGGCAGACCGGCGCTATGGAAGTTTTTGTCCGGCGCGGTCGGGTGCCGCGGTCGCGGCGGATTGCCTTCACCGCGGATTGCAATTTCGACAGACGTTTGACTTTGACCTGCTATAAGTAGGTCAAATATTGACCTTAAGTCAAAAGTAATATGCTCACTCGCGAGATCTTGTCAAGGGCAATCCGTTGGTTTTGTCGCGAGGCGCTAGGACACTTCGCTTAGGAACAGGAGAGGGATGCACCGACAAACCCCCGCTGTGGCCGCCCGCCCGCGGCGCGTCCGTCCGCCCACCGCGGCACCCGACCGCAACGGACGAAAACTTTAGTAGCGCCGGCCATAACCTGATATGTTTGACAATTAAAAATGGCATCGTTGGAAAGAGCATTCAATTTTGTCCAAGATCCAATCGTCGCTTTTGCAAGACGAGCAACAGTATTCTAAAAAATATAAATT